GTTTTTCACCCGTAAGGAATTTAAAAGGAATAACTTCAAATCTCACTTGAAAATTTGCACGTCACGTGTTTATTTTCTGATTTTTTTACCTGTCACGTATAGACCCTCTACCACCCTCTTATTTTGTCATGTTCGTGTTCTTTCGTATCAAACTAAGACCCGTGCACAAGTAACAGGTAGGGAGAGGTGGGTACGGAATCTGTGGTCTTGCTCTTTCAACATCTAAATTTTACAGCAAGGGAAAGCTTCTTGCGAAAGATTATAGAAACTAGTGAAAAAGTTTAGGACATTTCAAGGGAACGAAATATATTTGTAGCAAAAAAATACACTCGAAACCTAAAGATCTTTAAACGAAACATCCGGAGGCCGACAAATTTTTTTAATTAGTCGTTTGCGCAGATTAAGGTAAATGATTTAATACTTTCAACGCATATCGCAAAGTCGTCGGCTCGCTTTTCCTACAGACAATTGTTACACTTTCAAAATTTGTTTCCTGCCGCCTCATTTAGCAAAAATGTAATAACACCAGTTTGTTTAGACTATCCTCTGGGCATCATAAATTTTCTGTTAGCAGACTCGATTAATTTTAGTCATGAAATAAGACCGCGAATGTTAATGCGATTTCAGTTGATCAGAAAGTAAGAAAATTTCAAACGTTGCGTGGCGGATCACAAGTTTTCACAATCGTCATAAATTCACGGTTACTGTGATCATAAAAGTTTCCAATTAAATTACTGAGGTTTTTGTGTTTCCCCTTGCATTTTCTGCATTGGTATAGTTACTACTAATTAATTTTCCGGCAATAATCGGCTTTTTATCCCCCATTGTGGACTAAGCTCTCACCATTCCCTAGCAACTAGTTGTCGAAGGAAAAAAGAATAATTTTAATTTCATATAATCTGGAAATTTAAATTTTATTTTTACCAGCTGACTGGTCTATTTACGATCAAATTGAGTTTGAATTTTCTTAAAGGAAAAGTAAGAAAAACTTTTCACGAAATAGTTTGATCTCAGATGCATAAAAGCATCGGCACAGTCCATTCATTTCAAAGACTTTTCATAGCACTCATTAATTCCATTCAGGATCTCTAAGTATATGAAGTTAATATGTACAACGAATACGTTTATTCGGGTGTTTATATTTCCTGCTTTTTTTACGTTAATAATCGCAAGGGTTAAGAAAAACAAGGAGCGGGAATTAACTTGAAGAAACAAGAAGACTAAGTCACGGGAAAACACGAGCAACTCGACTTTTCATCTGATTGATTGAGCAGGTGACGCCAGTTTCTCGGCCAATCACAGAAAGGAGCATAGTAAAACTGGATTTTCTTCGACAATCGAACAATGGAATATTTTCTTACACCGAATGATAACTTGTTTTTTCAAATTAACTTTGGCATTCTCCAAGTAATTGTAATCACTTTCAAACATTTTTTTTTTTTTCAGTAAATGATTTAGAACAATTTCATGATGAATGCTCTCTTCTCTTCCGCAAAAAATTTGGATCAGTTTAACCTTCAACACTTCCCTTGGTTTACAAAATAGCTGAAAAGGGAAAAAAGTTTTAAAGGAAGACCGATATACACAATATCCCTCCTGTTTACTTCATTAGCATCAGGGTTTGGCGAGGAAAACTGAGATTACTGATGAAGCAGACAACAAGGATATGGGAGGAGAGATCACTGACAGGTTTTGGACTTCAACCAAATGACACAAATGCATAGTCAATGAAGTCCTACGTCATGCTATTTACAGTCGAGCCTATGTACACTCAAGTCATACTTAAATCAGGTGGAATAATGAAAAGACTGACTTCTGCCATAGTTTTAACCTTTACACCCTAAGAGTGACCAGCATCTAATTTCTTTTCACAGTTATACGGCTGAATAATATCTCATTAAGTTCACGAGAATGAAGAAAATGATCACCAACCTAAGAAGCTTTGATTGATGAAACAAATCTCCTTGTCAGTACCAAAGGAAATGTATGGAGAAAAGTAAGGAGAATATAGATACTGATGTTAGGGTGTAAAGGGTTCGCAACCTATTTTGACTATTTCTATTTTCGGTCATTGGAATTCAAATAAGGCTACCTTTTTTGTATTAATTTGTGTAAAATTTGAAAACTTTCCTAACGAAAGATAAAATGATATAGGAGACGGATTTGGTAAAACAATTTAAAGCCTTTCATTTTCTCTTAGCTATGGTATTTATGGAATTCCCTTTTTCCCGTAGTATCTTATTCTCCAACAAATTTCGTTTTCTGGCAAAAAATTGTTATTCTGTCCTAAAAGTATCATGTCTGGCACTTTTGGGTTTATATTCTAAATACATAGTTAATTCAGAATGTCATACAACCGACTCTGTGAGATATGGTAGACGTTCGTCCAATCTCCCTTTTCCGTTATACCATCAGAGAGTTATTCGCACGGCTACCACATCATTATCCTCTGGTGCGAGCTTTTTCAGACGGATAATCAGTCCATGATCTTGATACTCTTTTCCCACTGCAGGTCACCAACGGCATGCTGCACAGTACCCAGATTGTCGTGACTAAGTGCCACATCGAATAAAGGGGGTACGTTTCTATAGAAATTGTGGTGCTGCGTCGGTGGGAGAGTATAGCAGGTAATTTAGTGATAACAACTGAGTTGAAACGTTAATTGGCCACCGTAAGGAGTGAAAAGGCTGACAAAGGGCTGTCCTTTGGGCTCGAAACGTCAGCCTTTGCACTCTTTACGGTGGCAAATTAACGTTTTTAACTCAGTTGATAACACTTAATTACCTGCTCTATGCCACATCGACATGTTCAAGTCCGAGAATTTTCAGACGAATGGCAAGTGCACGATCATGACATTCTTTCGCCCGCTGTTGGTCCCCAAGACCATAATGCACAGCACCCAGATTATTGTAACTATTTGCCACATTTACATGTTTAGGTCCGAGCTTTTTCAGACGAATGGTAAGTGCACGATGATGATATTCTTTTGCCTGCATCAGGTTCCCGAGACCATGATACACAACACCCAGATTATTATAACTGTTTGCCACATCGACATGTTCAGGTCCGAGCTTTTTCAGACGAATGGTAAGTGCACGATCATGAAATTCTTTTGCCTGCTGCAGATCGCCAAGATCATGATGTACAGCGCCCAGATTATTGTAACTATATGCCACGATGACATGTTCAGGTACGAGCTTTTTCAGTCGAATGGTAAGTGCACGATCATGACATTCTTTTGCCTGCTGCAGGTCACCAATGGCATAGTGTACAGTACCCAGATTATCGTAACTGTATGCCACATCGACATGTTCAGGTCCGAGCTTTTTGAGTCGAATGGCAAGTGCACGATCATGACATTCTTTTGCCTGCAGCAGGTCACCAAGATCATGATGCACAGCACCCAGATTATTGTAGCTATATGCCACATTGACATGTTCGGGTACAAGCTTTCTCAGACGAATGGTAAGTGCACGATCATGACATTCTTTTGCTTGCAACAGGTCACCAAGGGCGTAGTGTACAGTACCCAGATTGTTGTAACTATATGCCACATCGACATGTTCAGGTCCGAGCCTTTTAAGACGAATGGTCAGTGCACGATCGTGACTTTTTTTTGCCTGCTGCAGGTCGCCAAGGTCATGATGCACAGCACCCAGATTATCGTAACCATATGCCACTTCGATATGTTCAGGTCCGAGCTTTTTCAGACAAGTGGTAAGTGCACGATCATGACATTCTTTCGCCTGCTGCAGGTGACCAAGGGCATGGTGCGCAGTACCTATGTAACCATATGCGTTTACAATGTCTTCGTCACCAAACACGTCGTCACATTGAGTTAGTCTCAACGTTGCGTTGAAGTACCTTAATGCTGATCGGAATTCACAGTGTTTTTGGCAGGTGTGACCAAGAGTTTGGAAATAGTTCCGGTAGTCATTAGGAGTGGATGATCCGGCTTTTATAGCGTCAGTTATACCCTCTTCTGAAAAGAGACCATCGATTATCTCGCTCAATGTGACTAAATGAGGAACAATGTTCTTGCTTCTGATAAGAGTATGTGAGTCATCCTCAACCAGGGCATGACCTATAACTTGGTAGAATGACAGAATAGCCCCATCAACGGCTTCAAGCTCTTTGTTTTCGGCGAAATTTTCCATGACAGCATTAATGACGTCATGGAAAATCTGGTGCACTCGCATGTAGACGCCGCTGTCATCCTCTTCAAATAACAGCAAAGAGCATTTGCAGATTCTCGTAGCAAGTATCTCAGGATCTTTAAGCTCTTCATTCACTTTGTTAAGATAATTTACAACAATCTCTAGACTCAAAGGATGCGGTGCACAGACAGAAAGAAAATGAAAAGTGTGCTCCAAAACTTTATCGGTTGTGATCGTCTTCTTAACAGCAAGTGTTGTGGCTGCAGTCATGGACTTTTTGTAACTTGGGTTACTTCCAGAGAGCATGGCTTCTGTTGTACTTCTCTTCCCTTGGTCCAATTTCTTTAGAAAGTCATCCCAGCCAAAATTGGGAGTTAATTTGTTCTTTCTTACTTCTCTCACATAGGTGGCAGCGCTTGCCAGGGCAAGTGGTTGGTAGTCTAATACACGAGCAACCTCTTTTTCCATTTCTGGGTCATTAAAACCAGAAAGCATTTCCAACAGAGAGCCGGCTTCATGAGGCTCCATACCTTTGCTGACTGGGATGTGTTGAATAAATGAGCCAGACGGCGGGATAGACGCGGTGTCCTGTGTTGTTATCAACAACTGGCCCTTTGCGCACTGCCCATTTCCTGGATCAGGTAAATTACCGTCCAGATGAGACATGTTGGTGACGTTATCAACTATCAGTAGCCACGATGAGTACAGCTCGATTTTCGTGCTGATCAGTGTCCTTAGACTTCTGATCTTCTCATCAATACTCAAATCTTTGGAGATAAGTGTGTTAGTAACAGCGTATTCTGGGCACTTCAGATGTCGAGCGAAAGTGGCGTACGATTCCATAAGTGTTTTAGAGTTTTCAGCATTCAGTGTCATTACGAACGATGTACTTCCTTTGACCTCGTCAAAGAAATTGTTGGCTACAAGTGAGGCAATCTGCGATTTACCACTTCCAGGGTTTCCAGATAAGTACAAGTAACTTAATCCTGTGGAATTTTTCAGCGCTTTTAATTGTTCAATTATCTTAGATACATCGGAATCTCGATTTGCGACATCATGAGAAGGCTTAGGAGGAAGAATGCAAAATGAAGAAGCCTCGCTGTTTAACTGTTCTTCAAGGGTTTTCCTTTGTTGTTCTTTTTGCTGAAGTTCCTTTCCTTTTTCCTGCAATTTCTTGTTGTTTTCCTGAATTGCTTTCTCTTTTTCTTGAAGATTTTTGTCTTTCTCCCGAACTTCTTTCTCTTTTTCCTGAACTTCTTTTTCTTTTTCCTGAACTTCCTGCTTGAGGTCGTCCACCTTCTTCAAAACATGTATCAACTGCTCAGTGGGAAAACATGTTTGGGTTTTTACGTCTTGAATTTTCACAATAGAAAGACCGAGAGCTAAAAATGCATTTTCCACTTTGCTAATGGCATTTTGAAACTCTACGTCTGAGAGGTGACCTCGTGCGATATGAGCGAACTCTTCGTTCCGAAACAGCCTGAGTTTATCCACATTTGACCGGACGACTGGATTGAGACTATGGATGCAATCGGAAAAAAGAATGGCGTAAAACAGCATGGTGCAGTCCCACTCAGCTCTATTGCCTTTAGTCATGGTTGTTAATAGACGTGCATGCTTCTTTTGGTTCCGTAGCGATTCGCCATTCCAGAAATCCATTCCATTTTTGGGATCATCTTTCCATTCTCCTAACGTGGCCTTGTATCGACTATCCCATTCTTGTTTGAAGATTTCTCGCAGTCCCTCGGTCAAGATGTCAGTGGTAACGTAACAAATCCTGAAGTAGTTTAGTTGATCTTCACTGTATTTCACTGAAGAGGCCATACTCACTTCGAACGATTTCTCAGTTAAGTTCGGTAACTGTCCTTTGAAGAAAGAAAACGAAATTTTAAACATTTCTGAGCAGAGAAATTGCTCAGAAGCCCTTTGAATTGTTTTGTCTTAAACTGTGCTAAAAATTTAAGTACTCTTGCTTTTTATAGAATGAGAGTCAGTGTTACAGTTAAACTTACAGCAGTGACGCTCTCTCCAAATATATGGCTTAAGTCCGCACAACGAGAGTTACCGAGTTATACCATATCACGAGTCAAGTTCGAGTCAACTTGGTTTTTTCCCTTTAGGATTTAAGGTTTCAATTTTCTTTGTCGAAATGATGCACCAGGGATACAAGAACACCTAGTTTTAAGCTTTTTCGCAGCCGTTTGCGAGGGTTAATCCTGCCCTGGTTCATAGCTGCAATCAGAGAAGTAAAAATTTCCAAGCATCTTTGAGTTGTCCTCAATGATTCCACCCCTTTTAACTACACACACCTTAGGCACAAGTCCCACTTCAACGACAAACTGTCTTAACTGACTTAGAGTGCGAAAAAGAATCTCAATATTTCTCGCACTCCACCGCCATTTTGTTGCATTTACGGGCTCCCACTGAAAAACAGCACCACAAATTAACTGATTCTCTCCCACCCAGGCCGAAATTGTGAAGAACAGATATAATTTTCCTCTGAGACGTTTGTTTCACCAGAATGATCTTGTCCTACTCTTCATGTTTTACTCATGAAATACAGGCTTCACTTTTCAAGATTTTCGAAGCATCACAAAGTTGTCAAGACGTCGTTACGCCACGCGAGGATTATATAAGGCATGATATATTCTGTGTTGCATCAGTGCCTGGAAAAAGACATTGAAAATAACGCGAGTCCATTTTCTTCGTAGTGAGCATCAGTTGTGGCTCTCACTAGTGTTTTAATATGTCTTGATGGACAATAACGGCCTTTGAAACGTTTCGTAAACTTCGCGACAATTCCGTAGCATTGTAACACCACTGAAGTAACAATTGATGATGCGGGAATTCAGACAAATTTGACCCAAGTAAATAACCTACTGAATGCACGGCTTTGATTTTTGTTTGTTTTGTTTAGCTCTTCTTTTTTAAAAGCTACATTAATCATGTATTTTCTATCGCTATGATTTTATAAAAAGGGAAAAAAGTTAAGTTGGCTCAAACTTGACTGGTGACCCGAACTTGACTTAGGCTCACAGTTGACTCGTTACACGGTATAACTCGGAGCTAACGCATACGTAAGCACATTTGACTGAGAGCACATCGCTGGATTTTGCAGAATTTGGGTCTACATTATTGTCTCACTCGAACTTGAGGTATGACAAGTTGTTTTTCGTGATTATGGGGAGATCAGATACACCTAACGACTGCCTCACCCACCCCTCCCCTTTCACCTTGAACCTTTGATAAAAATTATCACTCTGAATAAAACGTTTGTTTCTTAACTTCTCATTAGGAGTTGAAAGGGTTCCTTTGCGAAAAAAATAATTAAAGGCAAAGCAAAAGAAAACTTAACAATGGATGGGCTGATATGTAATTGTAAGTAGCGAGACTGTACAAGAGTGAGTTTGAAAAAGCCCAGTTGGAAGGAAAGGGCTGTAGAGTAGAGTTCAGATCATGTCGAAGGACGGCCTAAGTTGTGATAAATCGTAATCATTTCAGTTGCAACCCGCAAACGACCTCAGCTAACTTATGCTCCTTTGGTTTGAAAAGTCTTTGTTTTATTTTTAAGGAAAAAATAATTTTATATCAACTGAATTTAGTGGAAACATCTTTCGATTCATTTCATGCCTTCACCTAAAGCACTTGTTTATGTTTCTCAAATGTGTCTGGTATCATATTACACAACGTTGGCTCTCTATTAATTAGTTCTTTGGAGGAATACTCTATACTTTTATATCTCTCTATAGAGAGAACACTCTATTCTTATGGCATGCGTTCATCGCTCACTGTGCTGCGACATTACACTTGCTTGCAGGTCGTCGACAAGGGCACGTCCCTGTTTCTCGTTGAGCGATGACTTAAGTATCAAGAACACTCTCCCTGCTGCAGCAGGAGATGGTTGCATTAAGGGGACTTTTATCTTCGAACTATTTACCAGCGGTGGTTCCTAATATCGCTCTCAGGGGCTTACCTATTTTCTGCTTCGCGACCTTCTTCTTGTTTTGATATTTAAGCAAGGAGTGGTTAGAACCTATGCAAACTAACCGCTGACTGGCTAGGCGTTTTTCCAAGTCACAACTATAATGGAGAGACGGCATATATGTACAGAGCTTGGAAAATTGAAGTTTACTAAACGTCTTCAGAAGTACCAGAGTCAAAACACCCAAATCTAACAAAATTATGCTCCTGGCGACAAAAAATGTAGATGAAATTGGCGGAAAATGCTAAATGAAACAGCAATTTTCTTTTGAAATAAGCGTAAAAATAAAAATGTTCATTAAGCCAAGTTATACCGATCAAAATGCATTTTTGTGAAGGGCCTACCCAGTACCCGACATATTTAGTGGCTGCTCGCTGACTATGCCATAGTGGAGGCGGTGTTGGGATAACTAAGCGCAATCGCGCAAATACGTAACTGTAATTTGAAGTCAGCTAAAAAATCCTTTGAAGTCCCGCATACGATGTGTTAAAATCCTCTGAATTTCCCGAAAGAGACTATCTAGCTTCAATATCATACTGATATGATCTAACTTTGCGAGTATCAGTTCCGGCATAAAGTTTAAAGGAGAGAAGTTCAAGCATGCCTCTGCCGTTCCGTGTACGTTTTACTAGTGGTTGCGATAAGCACAAAAAGTGTTGGAGTAGTTAAGCGCATTGAACTGTTAATTTATGGCACGGGTTTCACAAGTGGAAATGCACGGACATGTTTGACTTAAGAAGATAAACGCTCGTTTTCTATCAGTAAATAAGTAGATAAATAACATTGTTTGTTGATTTTATTAGTTTTGTAATGGAATATGGAGGGTTTTACGTCGCTTTGACGAGGATAAAGACATAATGTCAGCAATAACGAAAAAAATAGACTCAACCGGAAGTATTAGGCAAAAAATATACATGTTAATCAAATTTACATAATAGAATCCGCCCTGGGATGAATTTCGGGTTCGAGAATGTTCCAATCGAATGAATGTTGTACAATTTAGTAAACTTATGAGTAAAAAAACCTTTAATTCAAAATTCAAACCGGCATTGTTGGTTTCCATCATCTATCTCTGGATCTCTCATCTCTGCGTCTTTCGAAATACATCCGATAACCAAACGTGACTGAATTCAAACATCAAGTATTCGCTATAAATATAACAATGACGAAGGAAGCTAAGAACAGCAACAGCCGCGGGTAGAGAGCCCCTTCGAATTCCTCTCTTCCTCGCCTCGGCTCATGGCTAAATCTTTGCTAATGTGGTCTTAATCTCTCAGTGAAATAAATAGGAAAGGCGAAAAAAAAAAAGCCTCTACTAGACTGGCACTTGATAGAACAATGAGAGTTGCTATAACACATTTGCCAGTATTTGCCAGAAGAATCTTATGGCAACGCTAATCGATAGAATTTAGAGGGAATTTACTTAAAGTTACTTATTTCAAACAACAAGTAACACAGAACATCAATGACTAAGCATCATGCCACTTTTAAGTCCTATTATTGTAACTTTATCGCTTCCGCAAAGTTTGCCTAATGATGTATAAACAATTGTGAAATGTTAATTCAGTAATATACGTCAATCAATGATATTTATCGTACTTACTGTGTCGAAGTATTCCGGAGATGAACTGCAAAGCTGTAATACTATCACTACAGTAACGAATAAAGGTTCCTGTCACTAATCATCCAGAGTCGAAATTCGAAAGCGGAAGACGCTCAAGTCACATGACGTATGTCTATTGGAAGCCTATTCTAAATGTGCGTGGAACCGTTTATAATTAAAACTTATCAGAAGGAAAAACCATTGAAGCTTATGAAAGCTGGTTTTGAAAGTGACCCACAACATTTTGGACAAAGTATGCGTGATCCAAATATGCGTGACATGAAAAGAAAATTAACGGCTCACGCGATTTCCTGTGGACACGTAAAGTTCTGTTGCGTGACAATGTCAAGCATTCTTCGAGCCAAAACGTTGAAACAACGAGCCTCAGCGCGAGACGAAAGCAAAGAGGTGAAAAGACATGGGCGAAAGAATGCTCAAAGCCTTATCGTAACCGTCCTTTGCTTGCCTGTTACAGGTCACCATATACCTTACCCAGATTATGGTTACTAACTCACATCAAGATTCTCAGGTCCGAGCCTTTTCCAATGAATGGCCATAGCACGGTCACGCGATTTCCTGTGGACACGCAAAGTTCTGTTTCGTGACAATGTCGAGCATTCTTCGTGCCAAAACGTTGAAACAACAAGCCTCAGCGCGAGACAAAAGGGAAGAGTTGAAAAGACATGGGTGAAAGAATGCTCAAAGCCTTATCGTGACCGTCCTTTGCTTGCCTGTTACAGGTCACCATGTACCGTACCCAGATTATGGTTACTAAACCCCACATCAAGATTCTCAGGTCCGGGCCTTTTCATACGAATGGCCACAGCACGGTCAAGACGCTCCTTTACCACATCCACATTCTCAGATTCGCGCTTTTTGAGACATATGGCATTGTTCAATCATAACATTCTTCTACACGTTACAGGTCACAAGGTTATGGTACACAGTACCAAGATTATTGTAACTATTTGTCACGTCAACATGCTTAGATCCGAGCTTTTTCAGACGAATGGCCAGTGCACGTTCATGACTCTTTTGCCGCCTGCAGGTCGCCAAGGCCATAAAGAGTAGCTCCTAGATGATTGTAAGTGGCTACAAAAAGGAACATGCTCTGGTTCAAGCCTTTTTTCAAGTACTTTAGCGCGGAGTTATATCGCTCTTTTGCCGCCATGAGGTCACCTGTAGCGTGAAATACACCACCATGATTTACATACTTTGTTGCAATGTCCAAATGCTCAGGTCTGAGCTTTCAGAGAAATAGTCGTTGATTTGCAATTCTTTGTCTAATTTCTCGCGCAATATCAGGACTCATATACTCTGCTCACCTCGAACTTAAGTTTCGACAATAGATCCAGTCAAGAATCTAAATCTCTTGATACCTTCGTCATCAACAAGAAGACTCGATCGCTTTCTTCCGCACTTCCAAACGTTGTATATCGCTGTGACATCATTTTAGAAATAAAATTCTAACGAGAACACGATAACTCGCTAATTAATGCGATTTACAACATTTTGGTGACTGGTCAATGAGGCTCATTGTTCTTAGCGACCCATAAATTGTGCGGAATTACGTTCATTTTGGAAAATTAATTACTTTAGGTTGGCGATTACAGCTGCAGTAGCCATAACAACCGATATATACACCTTCGCCGTGCTCTACCTTCGTCAAGCATCAACATGTATACAACCCCACAGTATCTCTACATGAGTTATGACGGAAGGAAGCCAAAAGTTTTTCCCATAAACAACTGATGTAACAAGAAAATAAAATAAGTTGAAGTTCACACATTATCGACATTCACTGAAGGAAGAAGAACTGAGAAACGACAGAGAACAATACAATGAAAGGTGGTGTTTGATTGTTTAACAGTTTCTGCAGTAACATAATATCATTGTATTTACAATAAAATTAGCCCTTGAAATCAACCTGTATTTAACAAGGTAAACCTCAATCACTTCTCAGAATTACAATTTTTTCAGCTGAGATTTCTGTTCAGTGGTCAATGATGTCAGGTTTCCGGCAGAAAAAAAAGAAAAATTCGCAAAAATAACAACAATCTTAAAAAAGTATGGCTCAGACAGTTCCATTTTTAGAAGATTCTCATGAGATGATAATAATAATTAAATTAAAAAACCGTTAGAGCACTCACAGAAACTTTGTTTAATTAGCAATTTGATACATAGAGATTAATACATGGGTGCGTGTAGATATGAAATTTCTCTTCGAGTGTTTAACCCTTTACTCCCTAACATCAGTATGCATATTCTCCATACCTCACCCTAGACATTTCCTAAGGTTCTGACAAGGAGAATTTGTTCAATAATCAAGAGATTCTCTAGTTGGTGATCATCTCCTTTATTCTCATGACCTTAGTGTTTGATTCAGGGGTGATATTGTAAGGAGAAATCAGATGTTAGTCAGTCTTAGGGGTTAAAGGGTTAAGTCGAACGAGTCAGATGTCGAGATGTCGAGTTGAACACGAGAAGAGAAATTTCATATCTACAAGCAGTCATGTATTATTCTGTTTATCATATAAACACAATAGCCCTCTAATGACAGGAAAAGTCCACTTTATTTTAATAAAGTCGACTTTTCTTGTCAGTAAAGAAAAATAAACGAAAATAAAAGGATCGACAATCCCCGAATAAAAATCGTAAAGTGAGTTAGTGCACTCAAGATGAAAACATATGCAAAACATGATCAATCTCAATATCCTGGAATTGTGGAAGTATATCTCCTAAAATAGCCCTTTCAATGAGGTACATGATTGATCTGTTTGCGCAACTCCTTACAATGGTCTCTGTCAATAAAAACACTGCTTGCTTTCACTTCAACATCTTCAGTTTTTCCCGCAGTCACTCATTGTTGGAAGAGATCTCAAATACTTCTTCTATCAGCCGATACAGTGCACGGTCTTGGCAAAGCTCTACGTTTGGCTCAAAGGTCCTGTTCTTCAGTCGCGTCTGAGAAACCATCGTTGGAGCCTCCTAATCAGCAAAGTAGCTCTTTTGAGCGTTTCAATGTTTTGCAACGAAGTTGGGGGAGAGGGGGAAGGGAATTCGCGCGTCAAGTGTACTTTAAACAGTATTTCCCCGTCACGAACTTAAAAGGAATAACTTCAAATCTCATTTTAACTTGCCCTTTTTGGGCCTTTTTACGCGTCGCGTAAAGACCCTTTACCACCCTCTTGCTTTACCATGTTCATATTCTCTCGTGTCGAACTAAGACTCGCGCACAAGTAATGGGGTAGGGAGAGGTGGGTACGGAATCTGTGTTCTTACTCCTTCAAAATTTACATTTTACAGCAAGGGAAAGCTTCTTGCCAAAAATTATAGAAACTAGGGAAAAAGTTCAGGACATTTCAAGGGAATGGAATATATTTTTTTAGCAAAAAAACACATTCGAAACCTAAAGATCTTTAAAAGAAACATCCGGAGGCCGAAAAATTTTTTTAATCAGTTGTTTGCACAGATTAAGGTAAATGATTAAATATTTTCAACGCATATCGCAAAGTCGTCGGCTTGCTTTTCCTACAGACAATTGTTACACTTTCAAAATTTATTTCCTGCCGTCTCATTTAACAAAGATGTAATAACACCGGTTTGTTTAGATTATCCTCCAGGCATCACAAATTTTCTGTAAGCAGACTTGATTAATTTTAGTCATGGAAAAAGACCGCGAATGTCAATGCGATTTCAGTTAAGCAGAAAGTGTAAAAATTTCAAACGCTGCGTGGTGGGTCACAAGATTTCACAATCGTCATAAATTCACGGTTACTGAGATCATTATTAAATTACTGAGGTTTTTGTGTTTCCCCTTGCATTTGCTGGATTGGTATAACTACTACTAATTAATTTTCCGGCAATTATCGGCTTTTTATCCTGCAGTGTGGAATAAGCTGTCACCATTCCTTGGCAATTAGTTGTCGAAGGAAAAACGAATAATTTTAATTACATATTACCTGGAAAGTTTACATTCTATTTTCACCAGCTGACTGATCTATTTACGATAAG